ATGCTCTGGTAGACATTTCACTCCAGGAAATCATAAATCTAAATGTGGACATTACCTGTCCAAAGATTCATGGTGATGTGATGAAGTAGAGCAAAGTTACAGAGGTTTTAGTAGAGTCATAGCCAGGCGTTTTTCAATTTGGCACAATTTGGCACAGTTTGGCACATTTTGGCACAATCTGTGAAAGTTGAAATCTTTCAACAGCTGAATAACACAAACTACGTGAGTTCAGTTATATGGCTAAAAACACTTTGTTTCTTAATATTTTTGCAAAAAAATATCCACTTATTTATGCGTCACCCTATTCAAATAACACCATAACAAAGGGTTACATTTGACTCCAACTGGAAAACATTTATTCAAATTCCAAAATGTCAATATTGTAAACATTACAAGAACAAAAACAACTGTGACATTTTCAACTCTACACTACATATTTAAAAAAATCATTTATTGATGCTCATCATGCCACATTTTAAAGCAGTTGTTTTTTGATGTGAGGCACAGAGGGACGTTGCAGGCCCTACAATAAATTGGGGTTTTCACCCTCAGAATGCCAGCATCCTGGCACCTCCTGCAATATCTCCTTAGATCTGTTGCATTGCTGCCAAAATAACATGGCATGCAGGTGAGGTTAGACAATGGTGTTGGTGGTGGTGGTAATGCTGAGGCAGCAGCAAAGTCCAGCATCTCCTTGGCAAGCTGCTCCCGAAACATTTTTTGTGTCATTGGCTCCTTACCTTGCCTCTTGCATAACTCCATATGCAAAAGAAAACTGTTAACAACAGCAATGTCTAAGAAATGATAAAACAAAGTTTTATACCATTTCATAGTTTTATGGAGGACAGTGTAATAACCAATCAGAGCATCGGACAAATCAACACCACCCATGTTCTTGTTGTAGTCCACAACACAATCTGGAACAGGTACAGCCTTTGTTGTCCAACCTGCAGCCTCCTTCACTTTTCGCTGTACAGTCTTCCCGCTGAAGGCTTTGTGCACTGTGGAGCACATTGTGACTTCTCGAGTGTCAGTCCACTTCACAAACAGCAGTTCGCCTTTCCTTATCCAGCGCACATCTCCCCTCTCAGCCTTCTTAGGAAAGTCATTTTTGAGTGTGCGCGGAAAACCAGTCCGGTTTTTTCTAATAGTGCCACAACAGCTAATTTTTTTTTTATATAGGTCACTGAAGAGTGTAGGGCTTGTGTAAAAATTGTCCACATACAAAATGTAGCCCTGGCCAAGCAATGACAGATGTAAAAGATCCATAACAGCTGAGTAGCTTAGCCCATGTGTTGTGCTGACCTCACTCTTCCCCTTGTAAACAAAAAAATTCCAGGTGTAGCCAGTGTCTGAATCAGCCAAGACAAACAGTTTATATCCCCACTTTGTGGGCTTGTCCTTCATAAACTGTTTCATTGATATCCTAGCCTTAGATGCCACCATTCTCTCATCGATGCAAATGTTTTTATATGGCTGGAAAAGGGCTTTGCAGGCAGTCACAATCTGGTTGTAGAGTGGCTTTATTTTGGAAAGCCGGTCGTACTCTGGGGTGTTTCTTTTATTTTCATTGTCCTCATCATCTTTTGGGCTGCTAAGGTGCAATGACCACAAGATAGCTTCAAAATGGTTTCTTGACATAGTGTCACTGGGAAAGTGAAAGTTATAAGGCCATTCTTTTCTCCAATAGTCAGCTCTGTGGTGTACACTTACAAGGCCTGTGTAAACAAGAATTGCCAAGAAGATGTAAAATTGCTTCAC